TTAGCAATTTAAGACTTTTGAAGTCCAGGAACGTCTAGATAGCTTCTTGAATCCAGCCCCCAGAGACTTAAACTGAAGATGAGTTTTGCCTCATGAAAGTCCTCATATCGGATTTGATATGTATGCAGTTTGGGCACGTCCAATCCAATCCGACGTGATCTCGTATGGATCCGCGATTCGTGGGCCGATCTGCCCAGGATCGGCGAAGCCAGGGTGGGCGATATTGTCGCTGAGCCAACAATAGACAATGGATTACTTCAACACGCCGTTTTTTACTTATTTTACCCACGTAATCCTAACTACAACGTGAACTGGCCAACGAAGAACTCACCAGATCAAATTGTGTTAAATAGATCGAGGAGACACTTATCTTAAACTATGAGATATTGGCATATGAGAAATTACATTTTTCCACTTTTTCATTTTTGGCTTGTGTTTTGCCCTGTATATGAGCAAGTACATCTACCGATGCAAGGTCAAGGGCAAGCCGTAAAACAAATATTGTTTTTAGTGGAGGAACAGCGGTAAGGGTCTTTGGTAACGCAGCATTGCCAACTTAGTGATGCTGAAAACATCGATGCATCGAGCATCGATGTTTTTTTTAGCAATGTTTTCCGATGTTTTTTTTGATACCGATTTTAAGTTATGGTCTATTTTGAAAACATCGTCGGGCATCGACATCGATGTTTTCTGTCGAACTTGCACTATTGCCAACTTCGGCCAGTGAACCGGACCTTTTTTGACCCTGTTCAGTTGATACTATTTGTTTATAGGGTCTTCCCACACAACATTAAAGCGCATTCAACATCCGTTGAACAAACGCTCCATAAGGTTTTGCCGTTCCGAATTTTCCAAAATGGACCGGCGTTAGTTCAACATTAAAATCTAACCACGGTTTGTTTGGCTATAGTTTTTCGGTGCAACTCTGATTCTTCTTCTTAATTTGACCATTCACCACGAAAATGTAAACAAACTTGGCGAGGAACAAATGAGATATGGAATTTAAAACGTGGCGCCAAAGCTACAAGCATGCCCAAAATAGTTCTTGGCGTTTTTTCTGTATATTTTTTTATTTTTATTTATTTATTTTTTTTTCGCGCGGGGTCCCGCTTCCACCTCCCGCCCAACCGACCGAGGGGCGCAGCCGCGTGACGTACGGCACGAATCGCGAACTAGATAGACGCGGTAAATGAAAGAAGAAAAGAACGAGGAAACGTTACGAGAGTACACAAATAAAATTTACTAAGAAAAAAATATAATTTATTAATATATATATATAAGTAAAGTAAAAGTAAAAACGCATGCAAAATAAATATAAAAAAGTATAATATTATGTAACTAACTAATAACTACGATAAATAAATAAAAACGCATGCAAAATAAATATTAAAAAATTAATATAATGTAACTAAATACTACGATAAATAAATAAAAACGCATGCAAAATTAGATTAAGGTGATACATTACGAGCTAACTCAACAAGTATTAAAGTTTTTAGTACGGAAGGGCTGTCACTACGAGTTATAATGTCAGAGAGGCGGTTGTAATCCGTACATAAAACCCTAAAGGGTTCATGTACTTCAAACTCCCGCCTACAGTGATTTACAAATAAAGGGATTAGGGTTCTAGATGTTAGTCGGGGAACGTGGAAGTTAAGCTGCCCTAAAAGAAAGGGGCTATCAACATCACCGTTTATTAGGTTATGAAGGAATACGACACCAAGCATCGTTCTACGGTTAGCTAGGGAGGGTAAGTTAATTAATAGGAGTCTACTTGAATACGACGGTAGCCTCTCATCAGCATCCCAAGGTAGGCCACGGAGGGCGAAAAGTAAAAAGTTCTTTTGTACAGATTCAATACGGTTAATATGGATTCCGAATTGAGGACTCCAGACGCATGAACCATACTCCAATTTAGGGCGAACTAACGAAGTAAAAAGGGTCTTCGTTATATAAGGGAAATCGAATTCCTTCGACCACCTCTTAATAAAACCGAGCATGCCTTTGGCTTTATTAACCATGCACGAAATATGTTCAGAGAACGAAAGTTTAGGGTCTAAGCGAACGCCTAAATCATCAACAAGAGATATTCTGTCAAGAGCGCAATCATTTAGCATATATGTGGCAGACTGGGGAGTGACACGTGAAAATGTCATCAGCTTGCATTTAGAGCTATTGAGATGTAATAAATTAGCACGACACCATGCTTGAAAGTTATTAAGATCCGATTGCAGGTCTGACTGGCAAGAGCTGTCCTTATACTGCAAGCATAGCTTAACGTCATCAGCGTACATAAGTACTCTAGAATTCGTTAAAACCAGCGGGAGGTTATTGATAAACAATGTAAATAGCAGCGGGCCGAGGTGGCTACCCTGTGGGACGCCAGAAGTGACTCTGAGGAATTTGGATAAAGCATTTTTAAACAGAACCTTTTGAATTCTGTTACTCAAATAGCTCAAAATCCATTTAAGAAGATCGACAGGAAACCCGATTAAGTCAAGCTTCCTTACAAGAAGAGAGTGATTAACCGAGTCAAAAGCTTTACTGAAGTCTGTGTAAATCACGTCGGTTTGTAAGTTACGTTGGAAACCTCTAATAATGAAGGAGGTGAATTCCAGAAGATTTGTAGTGGTCGATCTTCGCCTCATAAAACCATGCTGACATGGTGAAATTACGGATCTGCATAAATGCTGCAAGTGGGGAGTAATTACATTCTCGAAAAGTTTTGGAATTGCCGACAACTTAGAGATTCCTCTATAGTTGCTGGCGTCCGATTTGCTACCTTTTTTGTGGAGAGGAATGATAAATGATTCCTTCCAAATAAGGGGAAATTCTGAGGTTCTAAAGATAAGGTAAACAATTTCAGAAGGGGTTTGCACAGAGCTCCGGCACAATACCTGAGCACGCAGCCTGGTATTCCATCGGGACCCGGTGAGTAAACTGGTTTTACACGATGAAGATCCGAACTAAGGGCCCCAATATGTCCCCAATTGTTACTATTTAATATAAACCGCCTACCCCTACCTTATATTAAAGAATTTGGGTGCCTATTTAATTCATTTAAATTAATAGTTGGTAAATGCTCCATTTCAAATTTGCAACTGCCAATTCGACAGCCTTTGTTTAAGCCTAGTACTCTGACGAGAAAAAACCGCTGTATAAATTTAGACAGCGGCCAAACTCCATATAAAAAAAAACGGTGTCGAAAAAAAAAGAAGAAGAACTTTTAGACACGTCGTTTTTTTCGGTACTCTGACGACGAAAATGAAGCCTGCGAAAATTGAATGGCGTTGCCAGATCAAGATAGTAAACAGCTGATATCGCGCTGTCTAAATAATTCATTTGATTTATTTAGACACCCCTAATGGAGGGAAAGTTGAAAGAAAAAGGTGGCATTGATAGGAGCTGTCAAGGGGAAGCCCATAATATGGAATTTAACCTACAAAGGACATTTTAATGCCATATTTATTAATATTTTTAATATTTTTTTTGAATATTTGTTTACAAACAGCTGTCCAGTGTGACCAAAGAAAATCCTTAAACGCCATAAAAAGTACATTTTCATGGCATTTCAGGAGTTTCCTTAATTTTTTTTGGTCACACTAGCTCGGTAGCGAAAAAAACAGCGATTCCGCTGTGTAATTTAGACAACGGGTTTTTCTCGTCAGAGTACTAGGCTTTACGTTTTCATGAGCCACAGCTGATCGATCAGCTGTTCGGATGTTAAATGTGCTTTAATGTTGTGTGGGAACACGAGTTTCACATTTGTGAAAAATCCCAAACGTTCCTCACAAATGTGCTGTGTGGGAAGACAGTATAAGAAGTCTGTCGACCAAAAGCTGATTTTTTTTGCGCTTTGGCGACTCGTTCTACAGCTTCATTCTATTAAATTGAGTGTCCAGCGCAGAGAATAGGCCATTCTCTTTGTGAAAATGGACCATAAGCTCATTAAAGTTAAAGACAAATTATTCCACTTTAAAATAATATGTTGGGGGTTATGTTCGTGGATAAATATAAGGGCCTAATACATAAGTAAACCGTACGCGACACACGCGTTAGAAAAGGAGAACACCAGACTTGAACTTAAGCGACATACGTTTATTCAGTTTGATGGCTTGCGAAGGAGTGAACATAGGACGAGGATAATAAAGAGACCATACTTCATTATACTACAAATGGAAATGGATCATCGGTTATCGAATATGAAACGTTCAGCTTGCATACTTTAACATAATATGTTAAATTTTATCAACAGTTTTAGGTCAAGCTTTTGCTCAATCTGCATAAGACCTAAGCAAATTAGCTTTTACTAAAACTTTAGCCTTCTGAAACTCCGTATCTTTCGATTACGGGTTAGTATGACAAGGTTTTTTTAGGTTTAGGTTTTATATCCGTACGAATCGGCCATACTGCCAAGTCAGCTTATTTATTTATTTACTTGAATTAAAAGTTTCAAACAGCTTAGGTAAATTTTATATTTTTTTCCTAAAATAAATGTATGCCCTGAAGCAGTCGCATCCTGTATGTATTGGCGTTTATATTATTTAAGTCCTAGATGGTCACGTAGTGACCGGTAGCAATTTTCGATCAACTTCCTATCCTTTTTTTATAATATGTTTTGAGGGTGAAATTAACCCTGAAGCGCCAGTTGGTAGTTAGTTACCCGGTAGCTTTCGAACTCACTGAGAAAATATGGTAGTCCGTTGACGCAATGGTATTGAAGGACAAGCACATGCGCAGTTAGGAAAACATGGTGAAGACCTAATGCGCGTTTATACATCTCATATATTGCATTCATATGTATGTACATATGTATGTGTGAATACTTCCATACATAAATACGAAGCGGCTGAAGTTTTAATCATTGAACAGAAATGGATTTGCAGTTTTATGTTAATAAATAAAATCGAATTTATGATGAGTGATCTTGTAGATCCATATGTATATCTAAAGCAACCGTACAAAATGTAAATTACAATAAGGCATAAAAAAGCTCGCAAATACTTCACTCTCAATCGAAAAACAAATTGAACAATTGCTTGAACATCTTAAGAACAGTGCTTCCAAAGCAAACGGTGCAATGGACATGTTGCCGAAAGGACAATCTGAATTAAATGGTTGGTAAATAATGTTTATGTATATGCGTATATGTACATATGTATGTATGTAACAAAAGCAATCTTAAGACTACGAAAAATAAGTTGTTGATATGGTTGTCAATTGGATTGTTTTGGTGAGACCGTTACTGTTATGGGATTGGGATATTTATATGTATGTACACACATACAGCTCAGTTGGCATGTCTGAAACAAATTTTATTGAAACATATTGATCAATTGTATATTATTCCATTAATTTATAAAAATTAAAAACTAGAAAACTGCTTCATTTCCCCGAAAGTTATTGGCACAGTTGGCAAATAGTAAATTATTCTGTACAAATTTGATCGATCTGTTAACTTTTTCCTTCTGGAAAGCCTTGTTATCTTTATTTAGAAAATGCTTGTTGATAAAATGTTAACTTAAAATTTTCGAAGTGCCTATTTTCTAAGCCAAAGAAGCTTATTTTACCAAAATGATGGACAAACAAAAGTAAATTACCAAATCTCAACGGAAAATAATTTTGTATTTACATAATCAGGGCAAATCGTATGCTGAGGATTGAAGAAATGATGATTAGAACATGTTTTACCATTTACTTGGCTGCACTTTCCTGCTTTGGGCAGGAAGACAATCCGAGAGGTTCTCCATTGGATAGGGATATAGCCCGTGCTTGAACAAGCTGTATATATTGCGTAGAGCCATGGGGTGATCACTTCCTTGGTCGCCTGCAGCATGGCTGGGAATATTCCATCTAGTCCTGATTCTTTTATTCTCGCAAAGAAGTCTATAGCCCAGTTGATTCTACTAGAGGATATTAGATCTTTTGGGAGATGCTCTTCTCCAGTTGCTAGGTCCTGGTGCTTATTCGCATCGGGTACCTCAGTGCATCCTAGGAAATGCGCAAGAATTAGTGCTGTTAGGGCCTCTTCGCTGCCCTCAGTCCACTGTCCGTCGTCGCGTTTGAACTGACTCTGACAACAAAAGCGTTTAGCCTATTCAAAGGAATATTTAAGCAAGCTAGTTGACTTTTTAAACAATATTATCCTTTCTAATGACAAAATAAATCCAATATTTTCCAATTGGATGGCCCCAAAACTATACGGAGAAAGCCCAGTACGGAACCCAAAAAAAGAAACTCGTAGTGTCTGTGAAACATAGTGGTAGAATCGTTATTGAGTGGGGCTACATGTGCGCTAATGGTGCCGGAGAACTTGCATTCATAGACGGCAAAATGGACAAAAAAAATTTGTTAAAATATCTTGAAGATGTATCTTAAAAAAAGAGCCGAAAAGTTTAACTACCAGTCACATTCACTTTTCAGCACGATAATACGGTTCATTTTAGGCGTATGTATGAGGCTGGTAAATTTTGAGAAGTATACTTTTTTATATCCACCACGATCTCCAGATTCAATCCCCATCGAAGATTTTTGTGAAGAATTGGACAGAAGGCTAAACAGCGCAATATATCAACAAAGGTCGAGGTATGGTAAAGGTCGAACTTATAGGGGGGTGGCTTAAAATAGGAATGGGAACCACCCAAAATGCATGTGCATACAATCAGCAGTCGAGCCGACCTGAGCAAGCCCGTCTTGCCGTTCCTAAGTAAAAGTTTAAGGTACGTACATATGTATGTATGTATTCTATTCATATGTATCTTTATTTATCACGCCCAAATCATGCGACTACCGCCACCGTGCTTAATTGTTTTTTTATTCGGTGCTATGGTGAAGCTCTGAATTCGGTTGTTTCCAAACATATTCGTCTGCGAAAATAACTTCATTCCACAGTCACCGACTATCTCTCTTCGAGTGCGGACGTCAGTGCCTATTCTACGATCAGTGGTCTCTATTGCCAATTCCTTTTTCTAACCGTTCTTTTTTGTTCATTCGAGCCCGCGTACTTGTGTAATACTTCACAGTTAAGTCACACGTAGTTGTTACCATGGCCCCTGGGCCTCCCAATCTTGGGGACAATCGCTTTGCAAGCTTTAGCGTGAGTCCCAAAGCCAAGAAAAAACGCTCATACGTAAAGTTTTCTGAGGAATTCCCTGAACTCCCCGAAACCACCCAGCAAAACCCCAGATTCGTAATAATCGCCTCCAAAAACCCAGATAAGCCTCTTACTGATTTTTCATGCTTCGCAGTGCACCCAAAAACGTTCACTTCGTATTCAAGTTCTCCAGAACAGTCGATGGAATCACTAAACTGCTAGGGCACACAGCAAAACATTGCAAAAACCCCGCCACATGCGTGACATGTAATCTTGTTCCTCACCTCCCCGAACCTTTCACTCGCACTTTCTGCGCAAACTGTAACGGCGATCATTTCGCCTCTTCATCCCAATGCCCACAATACCAAAACCAGAGGGAGCTCCTCCGAATAAAAACTACAAAAAAATGTAGTAGGCGAGAAGCTCGCATAATACAAAAACAACAACAACCCAAACCCAATACCAACTTTTCATCCTCCAATGCTGCTATCGCAGCAACCCATCATACAACAAAAACAACAAACTCAAAAACAACAGTGAGTTGCGATAAGCAGGAAGCTCCCCAAGTGCATGGCAAAGTGCACAACAATTCGCCCAGCGTTTCGCTCGGCAATTCTGCTAGCTGTTCAATCAGCCAGGCAGACCAATCGGTAACCACGGCACCTTCTTCCTCATACAAAAAAGTACCAACATACGAAGCATCAAAAACAACAAGCGAAAAAACTCGTGCTATTTTATTAGATGCACAAGAACTTATACAATCTACTCAAGACGACACAACTCTTTCTCTTTACAACTCGAATACCCCTCTACGTAACACAACTGAAGACTCGGATACGTCAATGGAAAGTCTCGACTCATAGTCGGACTTTTTACCATTGACATCCCCTTGCTAACATAAAACACATCTCTCGTTACTTTCAATGTCTATTAATATAAATGGTATTTTTAACAACTTTAACGAACTGAGTCTTCTTATCAGAGACCTCTCACCAGATGTACTACGTTTGCAAGAAACCCATTTACCTCACACTTTGAAGAACTTTATCTGCCCCAAGGCATATACTGGCTACTTCTACAACTTGCCACATAACACATCGGCCAAGCAAGGCGCCGGTGTGCTCATTAAAGAACACATTCCCCATACACATACGGTTATAAACTCGAACATTCTCTGTTCCGCTTTACAGATGAACCTTGGGAGGCCGCTAACTGTAGCATTCCTCAGACAAAAAAGGTACCACACACACCATGGTGGAATCAAACCAAACAAAACATGTATGTCGACTTCATCCCTAATTAATTATAAAAAATCCAATGCAAAATTTAAAAAAGCTGTACTTTCGGCAAAGCGAAATAGTCCCGAGAAATTCACGTCTCGAATTTCACCTCTATCTTCCACTAAGAAAGTGTGGACCGATATCAAGCGTTTAGCAGGCGTTCCTACCATGTCTATAAAATTTATTAACTCTGCCTCAGGTCTTTTGACCTGCCCCCAAAGTATCGCCAATGAAATTGGCCTTACTTGGTCAAACTACTCAAGAGACTGTAATTTTTCAGCTGAATATATACAGCAAAAACTCCTCTATTTGAATAGAAACTATGAACCAAATTCGTTATCAGCTTCCGCAAAATAGTTGGACCAAAACTTCACCCTAACGGAAATAGAATCTGCACTAGCTACGGCCAAAGGGAAAAGCCCGGGAGCGGATAGAATATCCTACCCAATGTTAAAACATATCCCCATATGCCTCAATCGAAAACTACTCGAAATATACAACAATATGCTGCAGTCTGGTTCCTACCCACATACATGGAGGTCCTCCATTATTATTCCAATAAGCAAGCCGAACAAAGAACCTAATGAAATAAATTGTCCCGATTTCTCTTCATTCATGCCTAAGTAAAACTATTGAAAAAATAATAGCCAGCAGGTTGATATGGTTTATAGCCCGTCATAACTTAATCTTCCATAACCAGGTAGCATTCAAGCAGAAACACTCCACAATAGACGTCTTGTTGCGTATCCAACACTTCGCGTCGAACGCTCTTTCCACAAGGAATCATGTCTCCATCTTGGCGACTGATTTCGAAAAAGCCTTCGATCGCTTGGGGTTACATGTAGTGCTTTGTAGACTCGAGCGATGGGGCATCGGTCCAAGGCTTTATAACCTTGTAAAGGCCTTTATGACCAACCGCTTGGTTCGAGTCAACAACATCACTTCCGAAACGCACAATTTATATAACGGCATCCCACAAGGCTCTCCACTGTCAGTAGTGCTCTTCATGATAGCGTTCGAAAAAAGCACACCGCGATTTGTAAACGCAAAAGAAGACGACTCATTTGACACTACGACAGATTGACGACGGTTTTGTAAATGTGATGTCATTAGTTTGACAGCATTTTTTGAGAATTTGAACTGAGTTTCTAATTTTGCACATAGGACATTATGATTAACGGTGTCAAAGGCTTTACTATAGTCAAGTAGTACAAGAAGCGTCACATTGGAGTTGTCAGCATATTCTCGTATATCATTTGATATTTTTAAAATTGCCGAAGTGCAGCTGCAGTGTTTCCTAAATCCTGATTGGTTATTATTCAGTAAAGCGTTATCATGGATGAACGAGTTAATTTGAGATGCCATTATATTCTCAAAGGCCTTTGATAGATACGGAAGAATAGAAATGGGCCTATGTTCTTTGTTTGCCTTCGGAACAGGGATAATTTTTTTTGCTATTTTCCAACGGTCTGGAAACGTGGAAGTTGTAAAGGCCGTGTTAAATATATATTTTATGTATTACAGGATTTTTGGTAACAATACTTTTATATATTTAGGATTAATGCCGTCAAGTCCAACTGCGTCTGATTTGATTTAAGAATATTGACGAGCACTTCACACTGATTGACACAAACAAATCTAAATCTACTATCACAGAGGTTTCGAGGTACTGATCTCAGGTACATATTGTTTTCGCAGATTTCAGGTACATTGCATTTCGACAGACTTGTGTTTAATTCCTCTA